CCTGCTTCTTTTTCTCTGTTGCACTTTCTTACTACTTTCCCTCTGCTGCAGCTGTATCAGCCTCCTGACGATTCCTTGGAACTTACCAAACTTTCTTTTGCCTTAGGACCTTTGTATAGGTGTGTCTTTTTTTGAATTTTTCTTCTCTCAGATTTTCCATATGGTTGACTTCTTTTCTCCTTTAAATCTTTGCTTAAATGTCCACTTTCAATGAAGACCCTTGATCACCTTGTTTAAAATTCTGGCCCGACATGAAGGCTATGTTAACCAGTTTGATGGAAGTGTTTCAGATTGTGTGTGAAAACACCACACTGTACCCCAGAAGTGCATTAATGTGCATAGTTACCATTCAATAAAAAAATAATAAAAAAAATAAAATTCTGGCCTGTACCCTCATAAACACTCCAAATAGTCTTAATACTGCAATTTTTTTTCTAGTGCACTATGTAATATTTTTGTTAGGTTTTTTTTTTATTGTCTATTCCAGCTAAAATGTAAGGTCCCCAATGGTAGCAATCTATCTGTTTTCTTCACTTTTTTGTCTTAAATGCCTAGCACTAGTGGTCATTGTATTATTTTTTGAGTAATGCAATATATTTTGACTATTATCTTTTTTCTTTTTTTTTTTATTAATTAATTTTTTATTTAGAGACAGGGTCTCATTCTGTTGCCCAGGATAGAGTATAGCATGCAATTATAGTTCACTGCTGCCTCCAATTTCTAGGCTCAAGCAATCTTCCTACCTCAGCTTTCTGAGTAGTCAGGACTACAGGCATGTGGCACCACACCTGGCTAATTAAAATAATTTTTTTTGTAGAGACAAAGTCTCACTGGCTGGTCTTGACCTCCTGACCTCAAGTTATCCTCATGTAGTGCCAGGATTATAGTTATGAGCCCCCATGCTTGACCTTGTTTTTCTTTTTCTTTCCTTTTTTTTAAAAAAAAAAACTAGAATGTTACTTCCTGAGGGCAGAGATTTTTGTCTGTTTTACTCATTACTTTACCCAGCACATAACACAATGTCAGGCATATAGTAGACATTCATTAATTGTCAGATAAATGAAGATATTAGGTTAGTATGTTTTCATTTGGGCCAGTTATTTTGTTTTTCAGAGTAGAATAAGCATTTTTTATCATTATAAAAGTAATACATGTTTATTATAAAAGTTTCAGTCCATATAGAAAAGTATATGAGGAAAATATCTATCATAATCACACCTTGTTATACCTAGATAAAATTAGTCTTCTTCATTTACATGTTATTGGTTATGTTTTATTTATATTTAGGATATGTGTAGGGACACTTATTTTTAAGAAGAAGATGACATATTAGATATTTTGTTTTGCAGTGTTAGTTTTTGTTTTTTTGAGACAGGGTCTCTCACTTTGTTGCCTGGGATAGAGTGCAGTGGGGTCATCATTAGCTCACCATAGCCTCTAACTCCTGGACTTAAGTAATCCTCCTGCCTCAGCCTTCTGAGAGCTAGGACTACGGTTACATACCACCACATCTGGCTAATATTTTTATTTTTTGTAGTGATAGGATCTCGCTATTGCCAAGCTGGTCTCAAAGTTTGGGGCTTGAGTAAACTTCCTGCCTCAGCCTCCCAAAATGCTAGAATTGCAGGTGTGAACCATCATACCTGGCTCTACTGTGAGTTTTTATATTTAGTATGGAAATCTTTACATAATATTCAAAATAGACCCTTGTATTTTTAGTGTCTATATAGTAGTATAATAGTATAAATAAAAACTTTGAAAATTATTCAAAACTAGACATAAGCTCATTAGAATCATATGTAAGTTACATTCCAAATAATAATATCCTTTAATATTTCATAAACTTAAATATGACTGCCCAAGAAACCTTAGAAGAAAACCAAATGAAGTGATATAATTCCAGAAAACTTAGATTTAAAATATAGCAGGCAATATTTAATAATAATAAATTATTATAATATTCAAAAACCATAATTCTAAAGACCAAATGAAGTGACATAATTCCAGAAAACTTAGATTTAAAATATAGCAGGCAATATTTATGATGTTTTAAATTTTTTTTGTATATATCCAAATTTCCATCTGATACCATTTTTCTTCTGTCTGAAAAATTTTGTTGAACACTAAAAATTTATAGCAGGCATGGTTAGGACACAGTTTAGAATAATGAGGGAAAGGAGTATGAATTGAAAAAATATACTTATATGCTAACTTTTAGCAAAGAACTTTACTTCTTTGCATTAAAAACTTAGTCTTGGGCAGTGCCTGTGGCTCAAGGAGTAGGGCTCCAGTCCCATATACCAGAGGTGGTGGGTTTAAATGCGGCCCTGGCCAAAAACTGTAAAAAAAAAAAAAA